CTGTGCGAGCACCTGGTGCACTGTATGTAAATGTGTAACCACTAAAAAAATGCAGTGGTTACATGTTGACACAAATAAATGTGTTTTAACATCCCTAACAAGTAGGGTGACCAGACCTCTCATTTTTAAAGGGTCAGTCCTATACTTAAGCTCTACTGTGGTGTCCTGACTTTTTCTCAGATTGTCATGTGTTTTTTTTGTTTTGTTTTGTTTTTGTTCTTTTTGGGTTTTTTTTTTTTTTTGAGACCCCATATCCGTACTGGTGGGTCCTGATGATGGCCAAATCCCTGCTTGCCAGTTGCCTTTCCATCAGCATGAATGGGCACATCTGGTGGCTGACTGTGGTGGGGCAAAGATGCAGTGCCTGGGGCCAGTTGCTCCTCCCGCTGGTCCGTCAGCACAGCCGCTGCTGTGTGTGATCTCTTGGACAGCCCGGCCCTGCCTCCTGTCCTGTTTCCCGCCAGCACTGGCTGTGCACTGTGAACTGCAGTGGCTGGCGAGTGCGGGACGGCACAGTTACGTATCACTTCTGTGTCGTCTTATGTGCGCCTCATCTGACTTGTTGTCTCCCTGTTGTGCCCCTTTGTCTCCCTCCCTCTCACCTGCAGCTGCTCATTCAGACCCCCCATCCTCCAATGGGGAACGTCCCATCCCACTACTGTGTGGAGAACCAGCCGCTGTTTGAAGTGCTCAACTCACTAACAGCCTGGCCAGCAGGCTCCTTCCTTCCCCCACTGCCTCCTGCCCTAGCTTCTGGCCAGGAGGAGCCGAAGCCCCCCACAGTGCTAGCAAGGGGAAGTCTCTCTGCCCCTCAGCTAAGCTCTGGAGTGCTGCAAGAGGAATGCGGGGAAGTGATTTCCAGCCTGTTCCTGTGCTGAGCCTGCAGTCTCCACAGCAGCTTCCCAGGGCAAGTGTTTAGTACCCTCTTCACCCTCCCGCCCCTATTTCCTGCCTCAGGGAGCTTGAGACTGCTCTGTCCTCTAAGCACTCTCCACTGCTGAGCTACATCTCTGCCAAGTTCAGTCCAGCCCCTCTGCGTTCTGGTTCCCTGGGCCCTGGTGCACAGTGTATCCTTAGGCTTTCCTGCCTGTGCTAGGTTATGTCAGTGGCCAGTTGCGGCCAGGAGATGTTAGCTGCCTTTTGGCACTGTGTGTGCCAGAAGGGGCCACAGAGGTTGGGAAAGGAGGGGAAAAGAGAAGCTCTGCAAAGACATGGGTTGAGTCATCTCTCCCCTTCTCCTTCTCCCCTGTGCCTGGATGCAGCTCCATCCCTTCCCTCCGGCACAGTGCAGGAAGGCTGCTGTTGGCCATGTTCTGGTGTGAACCCTGGCAATAATCGGAGGTGGGGGAGGGGGAAGAGAGCATGACACCCATATGCCTTCCCCCCCCCCCCCCCCCACCCCATGTGTTTCCTCGGGAAGATTGGTGCCAGATACCAGGAGATGCAGGGTCTATCCCTGGGAGCCCAGCCAGGCGTGGAGGGCAGAGAGCACCAGGCAGGGAAGGTCAGGTCAGTTGGTCACCCTCTCCCCACCCCGTACATGTGAGAGAGGTGTATGGGAGTGTGTCTGTAGAGGACACGTTCTCTGTGTTGAACCCTGAAGCCTTAAAGGTACAAAGCTAAATACAAAGAATCCAGCTATGCAGTATTTCTTTTTAATAGGGGCTCAGTCAGCTTGATGTTAATTTGAAGGTTTGCACTGCATAGTTCTGGTTGACTGCTGTTTGAACTCACGTGAATGAGTAATTTTAGCAGCTGTCCTGTATTCAGCATAGAGAAATGTAAGTCGCCCCATTTATCCATAGCAGCAGCCGCATAGTGTTGGTCAGGATGTATTTGGAAAGAAATTGAGGCTTTGTGTTACAGCTTCTTTTTTATAATTTTTAGTTTTAGCAGCGCATCTTCCCTTGTCCTGCCTCCCGTCCCCTCACCCTTCGCTCAGCTACCTCACATCCAGCCTCGTCTTTAGGTCCCAGGTCAATAAGTCACTGAAGCATGATCTTAACTCTGAGCACAGCAGTGTTCCTGTTGACTTGCCCACTCTCTCAAGTACTCTGCTGAACGGGGGGCTTAATTCAGGCATCTGAGCTGAAGCACCCTGTGAACATGGAGCAAAAAAGTCACAATGTAGATTTTAATTTAAATCTCTGTATATTTCTGATTTTTTGTTTCAATAGGAAGAGGCGCAAGTCTTTATCTTAGTCCTAATTTTCACTTCAATCGCAGTGATAAATTGCACCTAGTCACTCTATCTTGGTGTCCCCACCTATGAAATGGGGCTAATGCTACTCACCTTTTTAAAAAGCTTTGAGGTTTTCTAATAAAAAGCAGTGTCTAAGAGAAATTTCTGTTACCCTTTTGACTAGGAGTTGCTTAATAATTTCGGTCTTCTAAAAGTGCTTTGAGATAAGTGGTGTTAACCTTGTCTGTGGCTTTGTCTAGACTGGTAGGGAAATCGCATTTCAAAAAGATTAAATAAAATCATCTTGGTTAATATGTTTTAAATACATTTTTCAAACACAATTCATTTTCCTTACTTCCCAGATGAGGAAAGTAAGGCACTTTTTAGAGGAAAAGCCACTTGTACAAGGACACACAACATAGTGAATCAGTGCAGAGTTTGGAATAGATTGCAGATCCTTTGGCTCCCAGTCACCTACTCCAATTGCTACATCACATGTTTCCCCGGTAGGTCTGAAGTATTGTGCAAAAATGTAAAGGTGATCTAGTTATATCAAAATGCCCTATATAAGTATACGTGACCCAATGATGTGCATAGATTTTCACTGTCTTGTGAATAATTCTGGTTTGGGTCAACGGGTCTGTGAATCCAAGATGAGTTTATTCATCTAAAGCTAACTGTAAATGAGTTTCCTTAGATTAATATACTCCAAAGAACTGTTCCTTTCCACCAGGCCCTGGACACCCCTACATTAATAACACCTGAAATCATTTAGTGAAGTAAAATGGTTGCTTGCACGGTTCTGGACTGTGTATTCTTCCCCTACTTGTAATTTCAAAAACAGTATCAGCATTAAACTGAAAATGGAACAGTTTAAGAAAGTTTGTGCCATGGCATGAGGTGCCCACTACATGGAAAATTACAGGGTTAAGAAGGTTCAGCTGGCTCAGGATTTAGTTTGTGTGACCCCTCCCTAAGTGCTTTATAATAGATGTAAATGAGTGTCTGGGTTGTGTGTGTTTAAATTTCCAATATCTTATTTATTTTGTTTTCTGTCCAGGATTCTTTTTTAAATTTCTTGCCTGTTCATATTTCACGCTAAATTTAAAAACCCAAAACCTCACCTTCACACGGACTGTGGGATCCTTCATTTTTTCCCTATAAGTAATGAAGCAATAAAACCTAACTGGGTGGGTGTGCATTTCATTGTGTAATCTCTATAAACCCAGGGTGCGTCATGAAGTATGGAGACAAAAAGGCAGAGCCTTCAGCCACCTTATACTTGTGCTTTATTACACAAGAACCATACTCTACAATGTATCTCATTGTAAACATAATGCTGGAATTTGGAGGGGAAAAAACAGTCAGACCTGTCTTTAAAGTAGGTCAGGGATGGGCAAGACGGCCTCCGTGGGCTGGATCTGGCATGCGGGCCCCCGCCCTTCCCTCCCTCCCCCCCTGCTGCTTCCCCGCCCCAGACCAATCAAGAGCTGGGAATACGGGTGAGGGGAGCATGTGAAGTCTCCTTCCCTACCAGGGGCACATGGAGGTTCTCTTGAGTCGCTGTGAAGCCCTGGCAGGGCGGAGACAAAGGGTGAGGGACGTCTCACACTCTGCCCACCCACAGACCCTGATTGGCCTGAGAGTGGGAGAGCGCATGAAGTCTTTGCCCCCCAGCACCTAGAAAGAATCATCAGCTGTTTTAGAATCGCTACCAGTTCTGTCTAGGCGCTGCAGCAGGAGGAGACTTCACGTGCTCCCTCTGCCCCCAGGCCAAACAGGGTCTGTGGGTGGATGAGCATGAGTAGTCTCCTGGCTCCACTCCTTCCACCCAAGGCCCTGCTCCTTCCACGGTGGTCCAGGGTCACTTCATACATTTCTGAAGTGGCCCCTTTTAAAAAATTATTTAAATTATTAGGCTGTAGTTCAGAATAGGGATGTAATAGTGTAGTCGATTAACCGATAAGCAAAAGCTTATCAGTTAATGTTATAGACGACACTCTCTCACTCTAACTCTCACTCTCACTCACAGGCTGGCCAGCAGCCCAGCTCAATCCCAGCTTGTGCTGGGTCCGGGACCTACCCCTGCTGCGGCTCTGCATTTAAAGTGCATTAGGAGCTAGGCGGGCAGGCAGCCCAGCTCAGTTCCTGCTTGTGCTGGGTCCGGGAGTTGTCGGACCTGCCCCTTGGACAGGGGCTGCTGCCACCCAGTAGCACAGGGCGACTGGCAGCTGGTCCACAATGAGAGCTGGTTTTTAAACTGGCTCCTCTCGGAGACCACCTGCTTGGAACCCCATGCTGCTATCTCTGAAACAGAGGC